CAGCCTCAACTTCCTGGGTGGGTGTCTGTGAATGTAAGGGAGCATTGTCACACTGAGCTTTTGTCCTAAGTGGCCCTGTTTGTCCTGGGTTAGGTGACACTAATGTCTCCAAGTGCTTTAGAAAGAGCCCAAGGAAGCAACTTGGATTATTTGCATAATCTAGGGCAATATTAGAGATGGACATTGTGTGTGGCATAGATCAGTGAACTGGGAAAATGGCAAGTTGTGGCTTTTACCTACAGGTGTAGATGTAAAGCCAAAAGGCAGGTGGGCTAAGATAAATGTTGATGTCAAAGTAGGACTTCATGTGCCTTTTTGTCTTTCTTCCTTTCATTCTTCAACTGTTAAAATTTATTCTGGTTCATAGGACAATCAACCTAGAGCAAATCTATCACGGTAGCCTAGCCTGAAATTGGAAATAAGTTGGAGTTATATTCCTGGATGTTGATAGAAAAACAAATCAACACATTATTGTGGGATGCCGGTCAAAATATTTGCCTTGAAGTTGCCAGTCCTGAAGATAAGGGCTTTTCCTCCTGAGGCAGTCCAGGGCTGCTCCAGTGCCAGGGTGGTGGCTCGGTGGTGCCTGTGCCCTGCAGCAGTGCTTCCCCCAGGGCTTTGATGTGTGCATCCTGAAACCTGTTTCTGGCAACTCCAGCCTCCCCTGTGGAGTGAATTCAAACCTCCTGCCAGCAAGATTTGCTTTTCACTCTTATCTGCCATAGACCTCTTAGAAGTGGTTTGCAGCTCCTCAGGACCTGTAGGTCACAGGTTAAAAATCACTGACCTGGACAGGTATTTAAATAAGTCTGGTTTGTTAACATTGCTGGGTTTTATTTTCCTGCAGTGTGGGTACCTAGCGCTGCCTTATTCACGTCACATTATTTGCAGCTCAAATATGGTGAACAAGTGTCCCTGAGAGGTTTATTTCCTTGCCAGTGATGTTCAGTGACGTAGACAAAGACTTGAATTTAGCCAGAAGGTAATAATCAAATATGAAAATGATTAGCAAACATGATTCTGACAGAAAGTTATTTGCTAATGCTTTGGAAGAAGGGCAAGGGCAGAACCTGGGATGTAGTGTAGGGGGAGAATCCCAAGGCCAAGCTGGCTGTTGCTGCAGCCTCCAGCTCCTCCTGTGATCCAGGTGCTGTGGTTTGCAGTTGTTGCCTGAACAATGGGTCCATCTCCTCCCATGCCAGAGCCTCTGGTCCTTCTGGGCTCTTGGTCCTTTCTGATTTAGAAATGGCTGATTTCATAGGGTCTTGTGCCCCTCACCACTCACTCAGTGAAATGAGGAAAAAGAAAAGAGCATTTCAGCCTCCTTCCTCACCCCACTGTTCCTAACAAAGCACACGATGTACTTGTGACAAGGCTGAGTTTGAAGTCAATGTCTGTTTTCAGACAATAACAACAACAAGACAATTATTTGTAGTATGAGTATGGCATCCTATAACTTTTAAAAATATGACTGCTACACTCAGAGATTTTTAATGCCTCCTTTTTTTTTTTTTTGGCACATAGAAGTAGAATTAATCTTGGTTTCCTGGCCTGGGGAATATTGCTGTGGACTACAGTGAGCTGCTGCTGATAGTGCTTATCAAGAGGCACTGTTTTTTAACACCTCTTGATAAGTAGTTGTACATTATAATGGCATTTTAGGAGCTAATCTAGAATAGCTTCAAAACTATTTCTTAGGAACTGTGAGAAGGACAAGGTTTTATTTGTGTCAACCTTTCAGGTAAATATTTGCACAGTCTCACAAAGTTCTCTGAAAAACTTGTGATGTTACTCCACAGGCACCCTGAGTAGAACTCACTTCTGTTGAGAAGATTTGTTGAAAGTCCAGGACACTTCAGGACCCTGATTTTGATTACTTTGAGACATTTTGTCAATTCATCTTTGCTCCTTGCCAGAGGATAAATGGAATAAATTAAAATCACTTTTTAAAATCATCACAATAAAAACACTCAGTGCCACTTCCTGAAGAAGTGTGAAGGAAATCTTGTTAGTGGGATGAAAAATCTTATTTAGCTCCTTTCTTTCTTCATTCGTAACTCGATCTTTTTTAACCTTTCTATATTTAATTTGCAAGTCGTGATAATTTTTAGTACTGATTGTTGAACAGGAATCTTGACCATGTTTCTTTCTTCCTGTCCACATGACAAGGCAGGAACTGTCCTGTGAGATTTTCATGAAAATGAATCTCAAATCACCTCCTTGCTTGTTTTCCCTCTTTTTTATTTTTTTATTTCCCCATTAACCTTTCCTCCACACCATCATATCATGGTTATATTGTGTTCACAGTTATGTTGCTGCAACTTTTAGGTGCTCATAAAACCATTGGAAATGAAAACTAATAAAATAATGTTTCCTTTCTAGCGTCATCAATGCCATCATGTGTTGGTTTGCCCTTCTTTAGGGCTGAGCTTTGCACTGAAATTACTCCTTTGCTATCTCAGTGAGTTCTGTTGGTTTGCTTGGTACAGGGAATTTTTTGGATGAGTGTGTTAGGTTCGTGTGGAATATTTGGATGCTTTTATGCTTTTATCATATTCACCTTCCTTTTAGAAGGTGAACTTGACTTTCATTTGGATTTTGACTGTTCTGTCCTCTTACATTTCTGTTTACATGTGGTTG